CGAGCCTAGTGCGGACTGGACCTGGACCCCTGGCCATCGCTCCCCTCTCCCTTCGGCCCGGCCCGCCCAAAGGATGTGCCCTACGGTGTCGCAGGCCCTTCCGGCCACCCGGATCCTTTTCCAAGCCTTTCCTCGCGCTGGAAAATGGTGGCCCCTCCGCCCTCCCGGCCGCAGCCCGCCGCAGCCCGGCCGCTCGGCCCGGTATTGATCCCTCCGGCTCGGCTCGCCGTTCCTGCCCTCTCTTCGAGTCTCTCTTCGAGTTTCTCTCTTCGAGTCTCTCTCTTGAAGGCTCTCTCTTCAAGTCTCTCTCTTGAAGTCTCTCTCTTTTAGTCTGAGTCTCTCCCCTTGAGTTTCTCTCTTCAATCTTCAAGGCTCTCTCCTCGAGTCTCTCTCTTCGAGTCTCTCTTTAAGTCTCTCTTCGATGCTCTCTTCGAGTTGCCGCGCGCTCGTTCTTCTGCTGCCTTTCCCGCCATGGCGTGCACGCGTGTAGGCTCATACGCCCCGCAAGCATCGCTCTCTATTGGTTGCAGCAGTGCAACAAGACAGAACAGCGGCAGCGAGAGTCCGCCTGTCAATGTTGCGTCGTCCGCACTGCCCCGCCAGTCACTCTTATTTCCCGACGAGAGGCCGGGAATGAGTCTGACGTGCCGAAGCAGGAGAAGTGCACCGTCCGCAGGCAGTGTTGTACACACAACGACGCATTAGAGGAGAGCAGTTTCTATTACCACTCAGCACGATTACTAACAGTTGCGGTGTAAATCATAATGGCTTCGAAAAAGTGGTGCAGGCCAGGAACTAAGAAATAAGACAGGCTTACTTCTTGAAGATAAAATTCCGTTCACATACAGTTACGTGTCGGGCGTGTACTGCTTCTCTTTCTTTGTGTATCTCTCTCCTCGTTGACGACCAACACGAGTGAGTGAGAGAGAGAGAGAAGAGAGAGAGAGAGAGAGAGAGAGAGAGAGAGAGAGAGAGAGAGAGAGAGAGAGAGAGAGAGAGAGAGAGACAGAATGTGTGTTGTCGGGCGCCGCCAAATGGGGCGATCTGATTGGCTCGTTGTGGTGGCGGGGCCATTTGCATCTTTTACATTGGGGCCTTCCCTTCACATTGCCCGGCTCGTAGTCTTTTCGCCCCTCCAGCGCTGTGGGGGCTCCGGTCGGCCGGCGGGCCAGGAGGTGAGCACACATTTAAATTACACTCGTCCTTATCACGGAATGGCCGTGCCTGTGCCCGGCCGTCGTTATCTGCGGCCGTCGGCCACGAGGCGCGGCGCCAGGCCGTACGCCAGGCCGCCACCCTCTTTCCTCTTTCACCCGCACTCGGGGCGCACCGGACCGCACGGGACGCACGAGGTGCACGAGAGGGCCAAGACCGAGGTGGCGGTCGTAAAAAATGGGCTGGACTTTGGCGAATGGTGGTCGCATAGTCAGGGTAGCAATCGCAAAGCGACGACGAGGCTTGCTTCGCTGTACAGTACACTCACTGTGTGTTTGCGTTTTGAAGTATAAAACGTCTTGCAAAAACAATGAGATTTTGGCTCTTTGGAAATGGGAACGTCATCGATGGGTTATTATGCTACGACGCGCCCATGCTGGGTCTGGCAGCTTGCGTTTTCCAAGTGTGCGCCGATAAAAAGGATCGGTCTTTTATTTTTCAATGAAAACGCACCCCCGAAGGGCGCACTGCCCCCGCAGCGGGCATAAGGCTGGCCGCCGGTTGGCACCCCTAGCACGTCCGCGGCAGGCCGCTGGCCGCGTTGGGGTGGGCACTGCCCGGGCAGGGGCCACGAGGCCACAGCGGCCGCACCGCCCACTGGGTGTCCACTCCGGCCCCTTTGTAGTTTTAAGTTCCGGGCTTTATGTCGCCAAACTGCAGACATTACGTTTTAAAGCTGTGTGGGGATGTTATCCGGGGCGTCGCAGGCGGTTTCGCAGCGGGGGTCCTCCCAAGGGGCAGGCCTCTCTCTCTCTTTGGGTAGGCCGGCCGGCCGGCCGGTCCAGGATTCAAAAGGGTCGGAAAGGAAGGGAGAAAGGGTTGCCACCCCAGCCTAGCCTCTGCTGGCGCTGCTGGAATGTGTAAAGATTACCGAGCCATGGCTCTCTCCGTGAAGGGCTGAGTAGTCCAGGAAACCAAGAATATAAGGTGCCGCAACCTCGAACAAAATTGTATTGAGCTGATTTTTTCTGTGCGGGTAGAGCTCAATGCGCTGTTTAAACGTAATTTTTTTTTCCACGTTCTAGCCCTTGAGACTTTTTGGGAAAATTTGAACACAAAGGGCGTAAGTGCAGTTTTAGTTTCCGAGCCGCGGCGACCGCAGTTTTCATCCGATCGTCGCGGGAGAGGACTCCAAATGACCAGAAAAGAATGCGGAACAAAATAGCAGTTGCACATTTTCCAAAAAACGTTTCCTTCTGCCTGATCAAGGGCGTTAAAGGCAAAACTTTAGGTGGCGTCACCGTTCAATTTTCAATCAACTCGCGCGCATTTTTGGGAAAAACCCTCCTAGCTAAAATTTCCTCTTATGAACGCTGTGCGCCCAACCTTCCCCCGTAAGTAGCCGTTTTCTCCTTCTCTGTGCGACCACCCTGCGCCTGTCAAATCGTCCTGGAATGAACCCCTGCAGCCTGCGCGCTGGCGGCGCGCCGCCCGCCGCCGCGCTGCTCCACTGCTCCCCCCTCCACTCTCGGCCTCGGCCGCATCTGGAGGCAGGGGTTGTCTCTCTCGCTCCCCTTTTTAAACGCATTACTGCGTGAACGGTACTGCATGCCTGCCGCTTCGGAGCCCCGGGAGAGCGGCCGGCTCGGATGTTTACAACGCGCAATTCCTACTTCGCAGTTTTAGTAACCAAAACAAATATTATTGAAGGAGTGGTTGGGTTTAGCTCGATAGAACGCGACGCGCTCTACAACCCCGCTTTTCGTCCACATTTTCGGAAGATTTCTTCCCCTTGTATCGAACGAAAGGGCCTTAGCGCGTTCAAAGTCCTACACCAAAAAAAGGTGGCACTTAAAAATGCCGGAAAGAACCCCAAGAAAAGGAAAAATCGGTTTCCCTCCCCCGAATTTAAGCAGTAAAATTTTAAACAACTAATCCCTTTTTTCACTTTTTTTCATTGTTTTCTTCCCAACTTCCACCATACTATTGCGAGAAAAAGGAGCTGAAATCACAAAATGCGTCCCGAGGAATCGTCAAGCGCTGGTGTTTCAGCTGAATGTGGGTATTTTCAGAATTTCGCTAAGTGCAACGGTTGCTGAGAAAAGCTGTTGGAAAGGCAGCGGCGCACCCCGGGGGCCGCCGCGCGAAGCCAGGCGGAGCGGCGGTCGCGCGCCCCGGGGGTCAAAACCCTCGCCACGTCGCTTGGGTGAGGAAATCGAAAAATTGGCCCCGGGGAACGTCAAGCACCAGTCTTTTAGCTACACGTGGGTGCTTTCGGATTTGAGCTAGGTCAAACGGTTGTGTTGTAAATCCAATTTTTTGTCCAGATCCGACAGTGCCGCGTCACTACATTGCGCGCGCCACGCTACTGAGCAGCTCAGCCCGTGTAGGATTTAATTTTTACCTGACCGTTTGACCCAGCTCAAATCCGAAAACACCCCCGTGTAGCTAAAAGACTGGTGCTTGACGTTTCTCGGGACCAATTTTTCGATTTCCTCACCCAAGCGACGTGGCGATGGTTTGTCCGCCGGGCGCGCAACCGCCGCTCCGCCCCCGGCTTCCCCGGCGGCGCCCCGGGGGCGCCGCTGCCTTTCCAGCAGCTTTTCTCAGCAACCGTTGCACTTAGCGAAATTCTGAAAATACCCCCATTCAGCTGAAACACCAGCGCTTGACGATTCCTCGGGACGCATTTTGTGATTTCAGCTCCATTTTCACGCAATAGTATGGTGGAAGTTGGGAAGAAAACAATGAAAGAAAATAGTGAAATAAGGATTACGCTTGATTATTTTACTGAACTGAATCGGTGGACGGTCAAATGATTCCTTGATGCATTTCGGTCGTTTGGGCTTCTTTCCGGCATTTTTAAGTGCCACCGTTTTTTGGGGTAGGACTTTGAACGCGCTAAGGCCCTTTTGTTCGATACAAGGGGAAGAAATCTTCCGAAAAATGTGGACGAAAAACGAGGTTGTAGAGCGCGTCGCGTTTTATCGAGCTCAACAAACCACTCCTTCAATAATATTTGTTTTGGTTACTAAAAATGCGAAGTAGGAATTTCGCGTTGTAAAAATCCGAGCCGGCCGCTCTGCCGGGCTCCGAAGCGGCAGGCATGCAGTACCGTTCACGCAGTAATGCGTTTTCAAAGGGAGCGGGGGAGAGACAACACCCTGCCTCCAGATGCGGCCCAGGCCGAGAGTGGAGGGGGGAGCAGTGGAGCAGCGCGGCGGCGGGCGGCGCGCCCCCAGCGCGCAGGCTGCAGGGGTTCATTCCAGGACGATTTGACAGGCGCAGGGTGGTCGCACAGAGAAGGAGAAAACGGCTACTTACGGGGGAAGGTTGGGCGCACAGCGTTCATAAGAGGCAAATTTTAGCTAGGACGGTTTTCCCAAAAATGCGCGCGAGTTGATTGAAAATTGAACGGGTGACGCCACCTAAAGTTTTGCCTTTAACCCCTTGATCAGGCAGAAGGAAACGTTTTTTTGGAAAATGTGCAACTGCATTTTGTTCCGCATTCTTTCTGGTCATTTGGAGTCCTCTCCCGCGACGATCGGATGAAAACTGCGGTCGCCGCGGCTCGGAAACTAAAACAGTGCACTTACGCCCTTTGTGTTCAATTTGCCAAGAAGTCTCAAGGGCTAGAACGTGGAAAAAAAAATTACGTTAATCAGCGCATTGAGCTCTACCCGCACAGAAAAAATCAGCTCAATACAATTTTGTTCGAGGTCAAAACCTAGGTTTCCTGGACTAGAGGGCTAAAGGCTGAAGGCCCACATACTGTGCCCGCACTGTTTATCTCCGCCGCCATACCGTCGCAGAATCTTTCACTATCTTTCCTCTTTTTGTTGCAGATGGGGCTGCGCGAGCCTTACGTGAACGCTAAGGTAAAAGCAGGTTCAATAAAATTCAAGATTACAGTGTGTCTGTGCTTCTTCGCAGCCCAGTGACAGATCATTCTTTTTTACTTGATATCATTATTACCCAATCACATAGCACATTAAGACGGTTTCCCTCAGCAGAAATGTGACGAACAGAATTGCTTCATTTAAGTGGAATCCGATACAACAGAAGGCGCGATGGTGAGGCAACACAAAAATGGCTTGTCACCACAAATTAGGTGGGGGTGGTATGGAAGCTGAAAGCAGCCCTTTTTTATGAGCATTCCGCTGCGAAAGGCACACATTCAATTAATCGTATCCTCCCTCGTTTCAAAAAAAAAGATGATCTCCCTATCATGCACTCATCCCCCGAATTTGACGCCCCGTAAACACCTTTTGTTTATCCCGCGCTGAAGGGTGTGCGTTTCAACAAACCACCCCATCACGCCCCTGTCCCTTTTTTTCCGCGCCTGCGTGAAAGGCTCTTCTTTTTTTGCCGTACGTGTTGAGTGCGTGCGTGTTGCTAAACACAATGTGTCTGCTCCCCTTGCTGTGGGCAGACCGCCGCCAATTACGAGAAAAGGACGAGCAAAAAACGGCAAGCCGCAGCGGAATACGCGGAGGAACATCCCCGACACAATCACAGCAAAAAGCGGCAGAAGCGGCAAAGGGGTGTCGGAGTACTTAATTCCGGCTTCATCTCGTCTCCTCCCGCGGGGTTTCATCCTCCCCCTAGACACACACACACACACAAACACACACACACACACACACACACACGGCATATTCTCCGCATGCGAAAAAAACAACAGGTTGACTCCCGGTTCAGTAGAGAATTTCCTTCGCGGTGGGCGTCAATGTTTCATTTTGTGGGCGATGACTTAAATGTATGATCTTTTTTTCGATTTTATTTAATTGAAGGTACTTTTAATGTTTCGAAGTAGAAGACCGTATGCATGAGTTCCAGGAGGGAGTGCGTCGACACGTACCGTTTAAGCGTGAACGGGTGCTTTTAGTGCTTTCGTACATCTGTTTGGCAGTAGCAGTGTGCTACCGCCGAATGAAATGCCAAAGATGGATTCGTAAAGGAGGTACTATCTGGATTGGTCTCCTCTGGACTTCCAGTAGTTCTACTTTCCCATTCCCAATAAGCGCCACGGCTTCCAGAGCCAGAGCTCCACCCGAAGCACCCCAAAGCCTGCCGTTTGAAAACTATCAGTTGTTGTTGTTGTCCTTCTTGTTAGATTACATTGGACGGTTCATTTATCATCATTATTATCAAGTACGCGTCCCATTCCAAGCGCCGCGAGAGCGCCGCCGAGTGCAGGCTTGGTTGCGCCGCCGTCCGCCAGGGGGCGGCAGCAGGCGGGGTGGCGGCTGCAGAGACGCACCCCCGACGCCGGGCCGCGCGCCGGGACTTGCTGGGACGCGCGATGCGACGCCAGCTCCGGCCGCGCGGTGACTGAGCGAGCTTCGGCCGGCCGCCGCCAGGGCGCGCCACCGAGCGGCACGGCCAGGCGCGAAAGAGAGCGAAGAAGCAGAGCGCGAGGCGCGGCGCGGCGCGGCGGCCTTCCCCTACTTTCCCTTCTTCTGCCTCTTCCGCTGCTTCTGTCCGCCGCCCCCCCACCACGCCACGCCGCGCCGCCCAATCGCCGCCTCGCTGCCCCCACGCGCGCCGCCGCATCCCCTCCACGCCGCCGCGCCCTCCCCTCCGACGCCGCTCTGCCGCGCCGCCGCCACGCGGTTCCGCCACCCCCCGGCAGAGCGCGCCACCGTCGGACGAAAGCGCGCCCGAAGAGCGCCCGTTTGAAATGCCGCCGCGTTCTTCCGTTCGTTCGTCTTTGCGTCGAAGAGCGTTTTCGACGAGGCGATCAGTTGTCAGTATTTTTGGCGCTGCTTTCATTGGCAAAATCCGGAGAGAATGAAGACGGCTTGCTTGACGATCAGATCATTTTCAACTGTCGGAGTTGAACGCAGAGGACAGTCTGCATTAGTTCAGAACGCACTGCATATTTCCACGAATGCCTGAGACGTCCTGTGAGATCAATCCGCAAAATCAAAATCAAGCGAACGGGAAAACAGTTTTGCAGGGCAGCGTGAACAACACAGGCCGGAATGTCCAGGCCGGCAGAATCCTGGAAAGGGGAGGTTTCTGCCGCCAACAAAGTCAACCCCTCGTCGAGTGTGCCTGTGTGAGTGTGTGTGCGCGTGCGTTTGTGAGTGTGCTTGTGCCTGTGTGTGTGTGCGCGCGCGGGGGTGCGTCCACGTGGACACGGAGGGTACGCATAAATAACATCAAACTGAACACGGCCGCACTCACATTTGTTACCGCGTGCAGTACATTGTACACTTGCAGCGAGGCCCGAGCGAAGCGCCAGTCCACCCATCTACCCGGCTTTAAAAACATCCCCCGTTGAATAGAAGCGCGAAAAGTTCATCTGAAATTATCCGAAATATCCGAAGTCATGTGTTCTTGGTCACAGAGAGCTTTCAGCTGAAGGCAAGAGAATATTACTGCATTGCGATGATGCTCGTCGTTAGACAAGTCCAAATTTAAGAACAAGATCCTACTTTTTGGGGTCATCGTTCTTGGGTCTTGAGAGTTGTGAAACTCTCCGTCAGCAGAGGCCTCATTTCGGAGGTGAGCGCGTTGGTCTAGGAATAGCATTCATATATTTTGTCGCAGATTGAAAATACGAGTAAGTTATAAACGAGACCGCGCGAGACCGAGTCCCGCTGGAAAACTCAAACGCACAACCCTTGCCTCAGCTGGTGCCGCAAAGCGTTGCAATGTCCGGCCGATCCCCGAATGGCGTTGCATGGCGTTGCATGGCGTTGCATGGCGTTGCATGGCGTTGCATGGAGAGTGCCCATGTTAGGCGCGTCCGACTGTAGGCAATCGATAATCCCCGCAAGCTGCAAGAGCTGCGAGCTGGGAACGGAGGCCCGGCAGCGCGGCACGCGGCCGCCGGTAAAAATGGCGCGCGCCGCATAATTTCCCCGAGCTTTCCGTAATATCTATTGATGGCGGAGGCAGGGGTGGCAGCCTGCAGGCATGGGGTTGGGGTGGCGGAGAGCGAGAGCACACTGTCAACAACGAGCTGCTGCTGCTGCTCGACGCGGTCGAGTGCACCACACCGGCGACGGGGCGCCCCTGCGGACTTGGAGGTAGGCAACGCGGCCAACACACGTGCCACGCCACCGCCTACCTCGCAGGCGCCTCGAAGCAAAGCCAGCGAAGCCAGCGAAGCCCTGAGGAGCACGCCCTTGACGATTGCTGTTTGCTTTTTGTTTCGTCGTCCCGTTTCTTGTTGGGAGTCGTGATGGGCGGCAAATCGGCCGTTTGCACGCGACAGCCTCGAAAAGAAACAAACGGGCCGCTCCCGTTCTCTCTTTCTCTGGGGTCGTTATCGCCGACTCGTCCCCGCGTCGCTCTCTCTCTCTCTCTCTCTCTCTCTCTCTCTCTCTCTCTCTCTCTCTCTCTCTCTCTCTCTCTCTCTCTCTCTCTCTCTCTCTCTCTCTCATTTCCGACGCGGAAGATTTGCCCGCTCCGTTCGTTCTTCGCTCCCCGATAATTGCTCTCCTTTTTTCCTCCTCCCTCCGCGGCCCCGCTCCCCCCCCCTCCCCTCCCCTCCCCTTTCACCCTTCCCTCCTCACCCCCTTCTTCTCCTCACGGGCTTTTATAGTGCGGGCCGAAATTCCAAACATGTTTTTGATTGTGTTATTTTTCCTTCCTCCCTGTCCGGTCGGCCCGCGAGGGGCAGAAATATACAGCCAGAAGAAGAAGAAATATAGCCGGGCGCGGCGGCATGACAAGGACGGGGCGTGGGGTGGGGGAAGTGGGGGGGGAGGGGAGCGCGGCGCCAGCCAAAGCATGCTTAAGCACCCTTGCAATTAGTTCAAAGATAAATGAATCTCCTTCTTTCGTTATCCAACTAAGAAAAGTGCGCCAGGGCCGAGGCGGGCTGGCAGGGGCGGGCAAGGGCGGGCGGGGGCGGGGAAGTCCGCCGTCCCTCCACTTTACCGATCTTCTTTTTATTCCCCGTCCTCCCTCTTCCCCCTCCAGCCCTGCAGCCTGCAACGAATTGGCCATCTCGAGGCAAGTGTCTTTCCCTCCCCAATCCGAGCCGCGGGCCGCGCCGTCCGCGCCGTCGTTCGTGTTGTGGATGGCGCTGGCCCGGGCCGCGCCGCCCGCGCCCGGCCGCTGTCGTGACCAGTGCCCAAATACCGAACAAAACTATTTAACGAGAAGACGCTAACTCCTATCGGACCACACCCACAAATGAAAACAAAACCAAAAGCACTAGTATCTTTGGTCGTAGAATTTTCATCTAAAATCATATAACCGGATTTTAACATTGAAAAGAGCGAATGCCATTTTTGTCTCGTATTGGAACTGCGTTGCCTCGGGCTGGAAAACACAAGTCCAAATGGAACAGAATTTCGGCTGTACATAATGGGCAGCGGGTGTAGAATCTCGGCGGGCCGCGGCGCCATGGCACACCCTCTCACACTTGGCCCAAATCTGCGGTGGCACGCCGCGGGCCGCACCACCGCACCCCACACGCCGCAACAGGTGGGGCACCACGCACTGCGGGCCCTCGGGGTGGGGCGCGGTGGGGCGCGGTGGGGTGGGGCGAGGTGGGGCGGAAAGCGAGAGTGGTGCGACGCAATCAAAAGTCCGCTTTTACTTATTAGGGGCGGTTAAGGCAACTCACTTGCCCCAACTGGGCCCTACTTTCGAGTTGCTCGAGTTGCAACGGCTCCACGCAAGGGCCTTGCAAGGGCCCGCCGCAGGCTGAAAAATGCCCCGGGGTCCTTGACCGGATCAATCGTCGATTTTTCGTCAAGATAACACGCGGCACTTCGCGCAGTACAAGAAGCGCCTCAATTTCATCCCCTTCTTTCAGCGTCCCTTTTCGGCAGCACTGGCAGCGGCACGGATCCGAGATCGGTCGTTCTGATTTCAGACAAGAATAGACAGGGGGAGGGGGGAGGGAGAGCGC